CTGTTTTAGTTCACAATCTTACATCATAAGTAGCATTGACATCTTTCAAGCAATCCAAATACATGCACATGTAACGGAAATACAATTCAGAACTTTCTCACGCTTCGGGAAAGCTTAAGGAGAGAATTAGTTTACCAAGGTGACATTTCCTTCACGCAACAGTGACACGCGACATTCCACCATACAATTTTTTCTCATCTTGGTGCAGTTTCAAGTTGAATTTAAAAGATTTCAAGATGACTTGCGAAATTGAGGTCATGCACGGAAATACGAGATGCACTGAGATCTGAAATCTAATCTCATAAATTGTTTCCTTCAAGGTCAATGCTTACGCAATGCCATTGCAGAAGAAATTATAAGGGAATTGGCTATATATACATCAATTCTACATTACATAGAAACATATGCCATGTAGCATTCACTGGGGTTGTTCTTTGGTTAAAGAGCATTTGCTCGATACGCCGAATGCCTTAGTTCGATTAACCACATACAGGTGCCACGTGTGAAACCCATTTTCTGGTGTCCCGCCATGATACTGCCCGAATATTGCAAAAAGCGAAGCAAAACAGAACTCATTCGCAAAACCAAAGACAAACTAAATTTCTTTAGTTGATTTTGAGGGAATAGTGAGTGAGTGAGTATGGTTTTACGCCGCTTCTTTTTGAGGGAACACAGTCAACGTATCAACAACACATACACATCTACTTATGCAGTTTTCACATTACATTGTTGCCATTTGTAAATAGAAATGTTGACAAGTGAATGGTTACATGGTTTTTTCTGTAATCAAATTGTTGTTCGTGTGCAGTAATTATAGAAATTGTTGTAATTATTGATTGCTCAGCCACGAAATAATTGAGCGACTCTTGTACCCTTAAAAAGGTCACAATACCGAACGTTTCTAATGATACAAATTAATTCTGGTAGTTGATCTTCCTCTGAAAGGCAGTAAATAGAACACTAAGCGTGAGAAAGCCACAGTCATTAGACAATGGTCATTAAATATTGAGCAGAACCAGTCGGGTATGTCCGCTGGGGGAGGATGGGTTCTGTTGTCTGTATGTCAGAGATAGATTAATTATATGTCCGTATTGTCCCGTCTGTGACCAAGCGGAGCCGAACAGAATATGAAGATGAAGATACCTTCTCAATGAACAATGTGATCGTGCGGGCATGTCAAGTTTCCAAAGGATTATACATAGGCACGTAGCTCTAAATATCCTCAGCTTGTCTCTTTGGTGAGAGGGACACAGGTGGCTTACTCTTATAGGGTTGTGTGCGCGCGTGTGTGTGTGTGTGTGTGTGTGTGTGTGTGTGTTTGTGTCTGTGATTGGCTGTGCAGAGGTGCGTCCCATAGGCGTGTCAGAAACCTATGATTCCTGGTTCGAATCCCGGTTCGCCCCGACTGTTTCTAGGTTTGTGAGCAACGTAGCCGTGCTTGTAGGCTTCACTTCTGGCTTTCCTTCCACGTCATGTTGATATTATTGCCCTACTGTTCAAAGCGGCGTGAGAAGCTGCATTGATGTTGAATGGAATGTTCCCAGACACCTTATATTAAGAAGGGCGGTCGGGTAGCCTAGTGGTTAAAGCGTTCGCTCGTCACGCCGAAGACCCGGGTTCGATTCCCGACATGGGTACAATGTGTGAAGCCCATTTCTGGTGTCCCCCGCCGTGATATTGCTGGAATATTGCTAAATGCGGCGTAAAACCTCACTCACTCACTTATATTAAGAAATCCGGTATCATTGAACAATCCAACAAAGTCTCCATACTTTAACTATGAAATAAGGATGACAAACATATACAGCTCACAGGAGCGCAAGTCCTTGCTAATTACTCCCTGTTGTGTCTACTCTCTCTCTATCTATCTCTCTCTCTCTCACTCACTCTCTCTCTCTCTCTCTCACTCTCTCTCTCTCTCTCTCTCTCTCTCTCGTTAGCTCACTAAGTCCTTCGTTTCTGAGATGAGAACTGTCATTTTCGTTACAGACGATGTAAAATACTCTTCAGACCAACTTATGTATCTTATGAAGTAATCCATCTCACTGTACGTCCAGGCATTTGACAGAACTTGACAAAACCAATTTGCGCGCCTTTCCCTCTCTCAGCCAAGAAAGTCCCGTTCCGCTAGTCAACAGAAAATACCCCACAGACCTAATCAGATTCAAGTATCTTAAGGGGAATCCGTCAAACAATATATCAAGTTGTTTTAGCCTAGAACGTCCGCCAGACGAAGAGGCATTATACATCATTGCTTATTTACAGAGCAGTGCAGTCAGCTTGAGCGCCGAGAAATGTTTAAGTGTGCTATACTTATCAGTCCGCATATTTCGGCAAACAGACAGGTTTATTAGGGAAGTTTACAAAAGACAAGGTTTCCCGTAATTGTTTACCGAAAGGTGTTCAGAAGTACAAATTAAGTAAGTTATTTGGATAATACACATGAACCGTTTTACAATTAATTTAAATGTAAGCATCATAAGGGCTTGCAACGCTCACTGTGGGGACTTCGACACCGTTACTGCAATTGGAGTCCACAGATACAGAAAATCCATATAGTCTACTGGTTACCGCTGTTCAAAGCGATCTTACCGCTAAGGTGATCGTAACTCCCATACCTTAGCATAGACTTACGACAGTGGTAGGGCTAAGGTTGTTTTAACACAACGGCACCCTGGACCATAACGTTAAGCTGCAAGCATTCCTGGAACCAAACCTACAGACAAATCGTTCATCATGTACAGTAAAGTACGGTTATAACGAACTCAAAGGGACTACTAAGTTTAGTTCGTTATAACCGTAGTTCGTTATAAGCATATATACAGCATAACTACAGCAAATAGTCGGGACCAAAAAAGTAAGTTCGTTATATCCGTCAGTTCGTTATAAGCGTGTTCGTAATAACTGTAGTTTACTGTATATGTATATATTGACATTTGACTCAGTTGCATTAATAGTCACAGTAGGAGTCGTCTTCATCTAGTGTATTACACTTAGTTGTGAAGCATATGCATGTACATGTGCACGGTATGTCCACATGCCCCAGTCAGATGAAGTATTGGAAGGACTGGTTGTTGCCATTCATATAAGCCCCTAACATAAGGCCCCTAACTGATTGCATATACATTCTGCTTTTTGAACATATAGTTACTATAAAGGCATCACGCATGTCTGTTGATTCGATTTATGAAATATATTTATTACAAATCATTACACAATTGTTGGAGTATTGCCGTGGTTAATGGACCATTTTAGGTAATGAGGTAAACTGAAACATATAACAGTTCCGATGATCACACTGTATGGAGTATATGTTGACAATGTAAAACAAGAACTTCACTGAAATATTGTCATAGATAGTAAGATATTGTTTTATTCCCATAAAAGGCAAACATTCAAGCAAGCAACATCTCTCTGATGATCAACAATTGGTGTTGGATACTTTACTTTACTTTACTTTCTGCATGTTTTATCGGAGATTCGGTTGTTTTAGCAAATGTGAGATTGGGAAGCTATCTTCGGCTGTTGCAATAGAGAAAGTACTGATAGAAAACATGAGCAGGGATTGAAAACATGAGCATTGATCCATACTACTTGTGGCTCTAATTACATAGTCTTTTACAATACAGATGTGGTCAAGGAGACTTATTCCGCTCCTTAAATTCAAAGGGAACTATTTGTAAATATATGTCGCCACGCTAGAGAAAAATCAGTTTGCCGAAGCAGATTCAATTGTGTGAAAGGGACAAAACAGTGGTGAAAATTATGTGAATTGATCACTGAAAAAGCAGTGACGACACCAGGTGTTCGCGAAAGGAGTAAGCATGTCCTACCCTACCGGTGACACCCGCCACTCACACAATCTGCACAGAAATGTAAGGGTTTGTTGCCTGACGTTGCACAGAAGTACTCCTACCATAGATACTCTCTTTGTCTTTACCTACCATCTATTCTACTACACGTGTATATGAATTCATTGCGAAGAAGGTACAGGGGCATTTCGATCTTTTTAGTTTGCACATATGCTCACACATGTTGCAAACTCTATGTCACCATAATAACGGTCACATACTAGTTTTCGTAGTCATAACACCTTATACAAGCGATATACTAGCGTCGTAGTAGGGTATCTACAAATAAGATATGAAAGGGTGTTTGGAACCTTGCATAATCACAAAGAACATAATACATTTTTAATATAGAAATTATGTATGTAACACTTTTCATAACAGGTGGTTGTCGAGTAACCATATGTAACACTTGCTTGTTTAATGTCGCCCAATTGTAATAAAGAAGTTGCTCATCCATAACAATTTTGTCTTAGTTGTTTAATGTTGTCAATCACTGAATTGTCTGGTTCAGACTCGATTATTTCCAGACCGTCGTCATATAGCTGGAATATTGCTGAGTGCGGCGTTAAACAACAAACAAACAAACAGATGAAACCCGGAGCAAAACTGTCAGGTGAAACCTGTATGGTCGTACAACATAACAGTCAGGTGAAACCTGTATGGTCGTACAACACAACAGTCAGGTGAAACCCTGGGTATTGCAAACAATACAACACAGTCAGATAAAAACAGGTGTTTGGGTCCTACAACACAACACACTCAGATGAAACCCTGGCATGGCCTTAACGTAACAGTGATGCTGTGATAACCAACGGCCTTACACAAAGACCGTTAGCTTCTCAGGTCATTGTAAGAGGTGAGTCCAAAATCTCACAGATTAGAATTTAACGTGACGCGAAGCTTGAATGACGTCCAATTCCACGACGCCCCGATAAATAAAAATGTACTAATGCAGGGTTTATACGACTCAACCTGTTCTTCGAGAAACCATTCTGTTTCACTTTATGTCATGAACCACTTTTCATAAAATTGAGGGTTATATATTTTAATCATACTTATACCAAAATAATCTTTGTAAATAATACCTCATGTTATTCAAAAAGTTTGCTTTGGCGATCAAAAAGAGTAATTTCTAAAAGAAAAACTTACCTAATCTTTATGGCCTGGTACGCTGTTACCTCTTTCAGTTGACCAATGTTCCTGTATTACTCCGCTTTTTAGCCGCAAGTGTTCGAAGGATCTTGTTAGCGCGGTCTGTAGTAGAACTTAGGCTTCTATAATCATAGTGAGCTGGCTTCCTCCTCCAACATGTTCTATACATCATATCGACCTACTGCAGAACCAACGTTTCTTAGCACCGAGGCACGGTCATCCGCATTGCGCATCCACATCTGAAAATGAAACCAGTGGCGATGAGGACCTGTTAATTATGTGGCTTGACGCACTGGCTGTTGTATCTTGACTGTGATCGGTGTCGTAGATATCAATACTTTGACAAATAAGGGTATCAGTGACATAAATTGACGTTTTATGTTTAATAACTGCAGTCCCAAATACAACAACAATCCTATCATTTTGACAATTATTGAATGATGTGGGATTTGGGAAATGAAAACAGGTTTATTTCAGACGCTGTATCATATTAACAAAGTAATCGGTAACAGACACCTGCCGTTAATATATCTCACGTTTTAATAATATGACACTTACATTACAAATTAAAAATTGAAATAGTCCAGGCTGTTTCAAATTTAAGGATAAATTGCATTTTTCAAATAACTAAACAAGCGTCGTTTGTCATACCAAAACAGTAATTATTTAACTTCACGCTTGGCCAGTTCGTGTATTAAGTTAGTGGTCCAAAGGCGTATTATTATATAATATATAGAAGAAATAATATGATATGCGTACATATGAAATACTTTGATATTTTTATAACATTTATAACTCTCATACAGATGTATTGTTCATGGATGAAAAACGTTGTGGGTTTAATATGAACAATATCTGCATGTCTCCACTGATCTACTTCATTACAAAATAATATTACAACAATGTAGCTATCACTAGAAAAGATTAATTATGAAAAAAATATAAATAACTTTACCACCGTAGTTATATAAATGTCAGCAGTATCATGTACACTACTTTGTGTCAACTTAATACCACTTAACTGTTCCATGAAAACAATAACAAATGTTTCAGGAAGTCGTTGTTGTGAAAACATATTACCAGTTTTGATTGCATATGTTTGTTTTCTACTTTTTTATTACGTAAATATAAAAACGGAAATGTGCCATATTATTCTTCTGCATCCAAATTACAGTTTGTTTTACCTTCAGGGTTACATATGTGTGCTTTATGACATATAGGTACTTGCATCAATTGGTAGGTATACTGCAAAATTTCTTTGCGCCGTGTTGATCCTCTGGATCAAAGTCATTACAATGTATAGCTAAGAAATAATGGAGTAATAAAGATTATACGCCGTTTTGAACAGTGTTTCAGTTATATCATAGGGTGTCAGATTATTATCTAAGCCCAAATTTTAAGTGACCTAGATCGCAGACATTTACCTCTTTGGGCATAACTCGCCAACAGACCAAGGTTCATAATCGAGACGATACTGTGATTTGGGCGCATGACCAGCAGATCCTGGAACGCCTAAGGGCGCAACTTTACAGAGTACGGCGACAAACATTTTAGCCCATATCATTAAGCCTATGTAGTGTGCTTCATTTCTCATTAATTGATAAGGAAATATATTGACGGGCTAAACAAAGTATACACCCTTGTTTGGTGGTTGCTTAAATGAAACAAGCAAGAAATGGTTATTCGATGGTGATGATGTATTCGATGGTGACGTATCATGTGACCATGACAAGGGTTTCAGAGTTGTGTTTTGGACCTTAAGTTTACACTGTTTCGGCGACTGTTTTCAATAAATTTTGGTCAAATCCAATTTTGATGTGGCTACTTTTTCTTTTACCCGGCAGTTTAGTCTCGGGATTTAGGCTAATATGTTGTAACCGACAATCTGTAAACGTCTTCTGTTCTAAATTAATATTACTCACAACCCTACATAAATGACTTTTAAGCAAAATATTAAGGACGGTCTCAAACATCAAGTAGATTGACTTATTCGCAGCAAAATCTCTCGGTCTTATAAACATTGCCCGCAATGAATAATATGGACGTGATGTCATGGTCCCGATGATGTCCTGCAGGTCATGATGCATTTATACAAAATATATCTTCGTCATTATTTCATGGATGACATCAGTAACTGTTGACAACAATGTCCTACAGTAGATAACAATGAAGAGCATTGCTAGTTGGCCACATTATCCTACAGTAGATCACTATGAAGATTGCCAGTTGACCACATTGTCCTACACTAGACCACTATGAAGATTGCCAGTTGACCACATAGTACTACGGTAGATCACTATGAAGATTGCCTGTTGACCACATTATCCTACAGTAGATCACTGTGGAGATCATTGCCAGTTGACCACACTGTCTTACGGTAGATCACTGTGGAGATCATTGCCAGTTGACCACACTGTCCTACAGTAGATCACTGTGGAGACCATTGCCAGTTGACCACACTGTCCTACAGTAGATCACTGTGGAGATCATTGCCAGTTGACCACACTGTCCTACGGTAGATCACTGTGGAGATCATTGCCAGTTGACCACATTGTCCTACAGTAGATCACTATGAAGATTGCCAGTTGACCACATAGTCCTACACTAGACCACTATGAAGATTGCCAGTTGACCACATAGTACTACGGTAGATCACTATGAAGATTGCCAGTTGACCACATTACCCTACGGTAGATCACTGTGGAGATCATTGCCAGTTGACCACACTGTCTTACGGTAGATCACTGTGGAGATCATTGCCAGTTGACCACATTGTCCTACGGTAGATCACTGTGGAGATCATTGCCAGTTGACCACACTGTCCTACAGTAGATCACTATGGAGATCATTGCCAGTTGACACAATGCCCTACAGTAGATCACGATGGAGATCATTGACAGTTGACCACACTGTCCTACGGTAGATCACTGTGGAGATCATTGCCAGTTGACCACATGTCCTACAGTAGGTCACTGTGGAGATCGTTGCCAGTTTACCACATGTCCTACAGTAGGTCACTGTGGAGATCATTGCCAGTTGACCACATTGTCCTACAGTAGGTCACTGTGGAGATCATTGCCAGTTGACCACATTGGCCTACAGGAGATCACTATGGAGATCATTGCCAGTTTACCACATTGTCCTACAGTAGATCACTGTGGAGATCATTGCCAGTTGACCACACTGTCCTACAGTAGATCACTGTGGAGATCATTGCCAGTTGACCACACTGTCCTACGGTAGATCACTGTGGAGATTATTGCCAGTTGAAACTTTGTCCTACAGTAGAACAACATAGAGATAATATCCTACAGTAGATCATTATGGAGACCACAGACATAGGATTCGTATGTTCAATGTGCTTGTGTTAACCTAATTAACACATCTACATAAGCTTTTGACGTCACCAGTAACAGGGTACAATAGCAATCACATAAATGCTATCAATAACCACATAAAATGGAGTAGCGAAAATGTCAGTTAACTAACACTGAAAGGTCTGCACTTTCGTCAAAGGCCCATTTCAAATTATGCAGTCATGTGTCTGAAATATGGAATGTATATAGGAATATGAGCTATTTGCATCCATATTGAATCGCGTTCTCATACTCCACTTGCGAAACATAGATACATCACCATTATGGATTAAAATCAGTTCAAATACGCAATCATGTTCCATTCAGATAAGCGTATTTCATAAATGTATAAACGGTTGAACCAAATGGTATTCATGTGAAATACATCTGCCTACTTTGGGAGAATGACAAGAGTGTTATGTAGTTTTGCATATGCCTGACCTTGTTGGAGTGACGTACATGTAGGGAGGTCCATTTTCTTGGACAAACATCGTGACACATTCATTAAAAAAAATAATAGGTTCCATTTTCCATAGTGTCTGTTTGTTGTTTATGGCCGCACACAGTAATAATCAAGCTATATGACGACAGTCTGTAAATAACCGAGTCTGGACCAGACAATCACTGATTAAATGTGCGCAGCATGGACTTTTAACATAATATTAAGTATATTAAAGACGTTAAAAGATGTTACTTGTTGTTACCCTGCCTATCGCTCGGCATTAAGGGGCTAATGCCTGAGTGGGGCATGGTATCTCAGTGGATCTCGCATGTCGCTATGTAATTACAATAATTTAATCTTGGACTCGACGTTAACCTCGTTTCACCTCACTTGATATCACATAATGGCATATCAAACTTAAAGGATTCGACAAGCCTGTTAAAAATGTGCAGTGAATTTGTTAGCCATTGGGCTATTGTTTTACACAAACAAGATTAAAGACCGAATGATATTGTTTATTGCCTGTGTGCTGTGTATATTACGCCTTATGCATTCGTGATAGAATGCAACACTTGACGGTGGAAACAAAGTAACATATGACATAACGATGGACATGAATAAGGGAACGCTTAGTTTTAGACACAGTAAAATGATATGCTGCCACGGTTTCCCAGCCTTGTCAGCCCAGCCAAATATGTGTTGGAAACATTGCAAACTAACACATCTCAACATTTGATTCTGACATGTGTTGAATTTGTATGCGCACTATGTCAAACGTACTGACAGCAATCCTTACTTTCCCTATACTTTTCATTGTTCCCTTATTCGTTTCCATCACATTGTACCTTCTCTGAGCCATGTATGTTGCAGTGTACGAATATTAACTACTGAAAATAGAACATGTACTTATAAAGTGTGCCATTAGGTGAACATGTGTTACCCAGCGTGATGTCCTAGATGGTAATTACATGTGATTAAAGTAGATTGTGTTGATTTCTGATAAACAAGTGGCACTTTTTTCCCCTTAGTGTATCTACATGTGCATAATGTCAACCTAGTTTGCTAACTCTTTACACCGTGGAAATTAATGTTCTAATCGATTAATGAAAATGAATGCATTTTACAAAAGAAACTTTACATACAATACATTATGTTACAATATTTACTAGTCCATCCTTGTGTATCGAGTATCGGTATTGATTTCGTTAGGGCCCAGTGAAGATCCAAGTTAGAATTGGTCTCCAGCAAACCATGCTTGTCGTAAGAGGAGACACACGTGGTCGGGGTGGCAGGCCTGCTGACTTGGTTGATGCATTTTATCGTATCCCAATTGCGTAGATTAATGCTGATGATGTCAATCACTGGATTGTCTGGTTCAGACTTGTTTATT